TTGATATATTATATTCAAGAATTACATTATAAAACCTACATTTTTATCATCATCACTAAGGCTCTTACGTTATTAAAGAGCTTTTCCTATTAATACTTCGGATGGCTTGAAATGCTAGGTATTTAACTGTTCATATAATCCATGCGTAATTAGGCTGTTAGTGTCCGTGAGAGTTTTTTTGCTGTTCTATTTCTGTCTAACTTAATCTGTCATTATTTATCATTGCTAGTACTAGCTCCATTGGTATTGTTAACTTGAGATGCATTCTATCATCTGTTTCAATTTAATCCCGAAGAAAAAAAAGCAATTTTTGACTTTATGCCGAGAAATTAGAAAACAATTACTTATCTCTTTCAGTATGATGATTATCTTTCCAAATTTCCACAATTCCTGATTTCAATGCAACTACAAGTGATTTGTAGCAAACTGAATTCGGCATTTTCAAGTTAAAAACAGATCCAGTGTTATATTTCATTTGTTATATTTATTGAGAGTATCTGTCTTTTTATCTATATTTTCGCCACCTTTGCAGTAGAATGATTTTTGAAATAAATTCACATTTTAATCATACTCACTTGAAAGTTTTCAAGATTTGTTTTACTTTTGATTCAGATTTAAAACGAGCAGGTAAGTCTAGCTAAATGACATGCTATGTATTTTCAAGCTGAAAAATGAATATTTTTGCCTTACAATTTAAATGAAGTTTTATAGCTTACATCATAAATAAGTTTTAAATGTTTAGGCTAAAATGCTGAAGAAAGCAAAGAAATCACGTCGCAATGCAACATCCTTGACAACAAATGCAGCAACTCAGCCAGTTCAGAATAAATCTCCACCATCTTCATCAGGCGTTCATCCCTGTATACTCCTAAATATTGATTCAGGTCCATTGATGCATGAGAGAAGTACACCCGATGAACCGCATTCTGCTTGTGCAAATGGTGATGATGATGATGATGAAGAAGGCGATGCTTTTTTATGATTTATTGTTAGTTATGTATGTATATGTGTGTGTGTGTGTGTGTGTGTGTG